TTCTGGGCTCAGCTCCCCGTCTTTGACTTCATAGATTCTGATTCCAACCAGTTTTTCTTCCTTTGTTCAGGAGCCTCTGACCAGGGTTGCTACCAGTCGGCCATCTTCCCAGAATCCCCCCAAGTTTTGTTTTTAATTAAATTTTTATTTTGAGATAATTGTACATAGTTGTGAAAAATAATGAGAGATCCTAAGTAACAATGGTAACATTTTGCATAACTATATTACAGTATTACGAATAGTATACTGACATCTATAATTAAGATACAAAACACTTCCATCTGTTTGCGTCCCCCCCAAATCATATTTTAAAACCCTAACAAAGAACATGAAATATCTCTGTAAAGAGAATTATGAAATTCCAAGAAAAGAAATAGCTGAAGATGTTAACAAATTGAAAAACATACCATGCTCATGGCTGGGAAGAATCAACATTGTTAAAATGTCCATACTACCTAAAGCAATATACAATTTTAATGCAATCACTAGGAAAGCTCCACTGTCATACTTTTTATTTTATATGGAATCAGAAAAAACCTTGAATAGCCAAGACATAACTCAGAAATAAAAACAAAGCAGGAGGAATCACGCTACTAGACCTCAAACTATACTATAAATCAATAGTGATCAAAACAGCATGGTACTGGCACAAAAATAGAGGGGTAGATGTATGGAACAGAATTGAGAACCAAGAGATGAACCCAGACTTATCATCATTTGATCTTCGATAAACCTATCAAAAATATAAATTATGGGAAACATTCCCTGTTTAACAAATGGTGCTGGAAGAGCTGGCTGGCAACTTGTAGAAGGCTGAAACTGGACCCACACCTTTCACCAATAACAAAAATTGATTCTCACTGGATAAAAGATTTAAACTTAACACATGAAAGTATAAAAATACTAGAAGAGAGTGCAGGGAAAACACTTGAAGAAATCAGCCTAGGATAATATTTTATGAGGAGGACCCCCTGGACAACTGAAGCAACACCAAAAATACCTTACAGGGATCTGGTCAAACTAAAAAGGTTTTGCACAGCCAATAGAACAGTAAGTAAAACAAGCAGACAGCCCTCAGAATGAGAGAAGATATTTGCAGGTTATGTCTCCAACAAAGGTTTACTAGCAAGTTTTAAGAGTTCTTTATTTTCTCTCTACTGTGACTGTCTTTTCATTACCCAAATGGTTTTTTCAGGGAATTTTTTTTTCATTTTGATGAAGTTTAATGTATCTTTTCCTTTATGGATTATGCTTTTAATATCAAGTCTAAGAACTCTACCTGCACCTATATCTTGAAGATTTTTTTCCTAAAAGATTTGTAGTTTTCTATGGATGGCACCTGTGGCTCAAAGGAGTAGGGCTCTGACCCCCATATACCAAAGGTGGTGGGTTTGAACCTGGCCCCAAGGGGGAAACAAAATTTGCAGTTTTCTAAAAGTTGTATAGCTTTATATTTTATATTTAAGTTTATTGTTCATTATGAATTAATTTTAGTAGAACATGTGATGTCTGCTTATGCCTATGGATGTGCAATTGCTCCAGCAGAGTTTGCTATATTTATTGAATGGTGATATTCATTTAATTATTTTGTGCCTTTCAAAAAGGAGTTAGGTATCTATGGGTCTATTTTGAGATTCTCTATTTTATTAATCTGTGTATCTTTTTCTTCACCAATGCCATACATAAAAGCCAGTAGAGTAACAAAACTTGAAATTTTGTTAGAAGTTGGATCAAATCTATATATTAATTTGAGGAGAATTGACATTCTTTCTATGTTGAGTCTTTCAATCCGTGGGCACATTATCCCCCATTATTTATTTGGGATCTCTTTGATTTCTTTCAATGTTATGTTCAGCATAAAAGTCCTATATATTTTTTGTTAAATTTATACTTCTATATTCATTTTATATTAAGTGAAAATTGTATTATGCTTTTATTTTTCATGTAAACATGCTTATTCTAGTATATAAAAGTGCAATTTGTATTCTTGTACATTTATTTTGTATCCTATAACCTTGATGAACTCATTTATTCCAGAAATTTTTCTTCTTCATTCTTTATAGTTTCTATGTAGGCAGTCATGTCATCTACAAATAAAATCGGTTTTATTTCTTTCTTTGTGATTCCTATGCCTTTTATTCTCTATTTATCTTTTATTACACTAGATACAGTTTCCATCACTACACTGAATCATAGATTTGAGAGTAGACATTATTCTTTATTCCCATTTTTTAGAAAGAAAATATATACAGTCTTCTCTACTAAATATAATGTTAACTTTAAGGATTTTTAGCTGCTATATATAACTTAAGGAACTTGTAGTTCTATTTTTCTCAGAGTTTTTATTGTAAATGGATGTTGAGTTTCCTAGGAGCTTTATCCATAGATTGGTATGATTTTGTGATTTTTCTTTTTTAGCCTATCATTATGGTGGGTGATATTGGTAGACAGCCAAATTAGTATTCAAATACTAATTTGAATTAGTATTGTATCCTTGGAACAGATTCCACTTGGCCATGGTGAATAAATCTTTCTATATATTGCTAAATTCTATTTATTAATATTTTGTTAAGGAGTTTTACATCTCTGTCAATGAAGAATATTGATCTGTAGTTTTGCTTTGTTATATTATTTTCATGTGGTTTCTCTATCAGGTAACACTAGCTTCATAAAATGAAATGAGAAATGTTCTTCTGTTTCCTAGACTTTATTGTATATACTTAGTGCTCATTCTTATTTAAATATTTGATATCTGGGCCTTAGGATTTTTTTGAGAGATTTTTAAGTTAAGAATTACATTTTCCTAATATTAAACTTATAGTTATTCAAATGATTCATTTCGTATTGTGTGAGTTGTTTTGTGTGCTTTGAAGAAGTGGTCCGTTTCATCTTAATTGTAATATTTGTGTTGTATAGTCAGAGTTCTTCAGAGAAACAGTAACACCCAACTATTAAAAAAAAAGTATAATTGTCTTACCTCAACAAATAAATAAGTGAGGTTTTGGATGTGTTATTCAGTTCAATGCAAGCATTTCACATTGTATATCAAATCAGTACATTGCACTCCATAAATGCATCAATGTACATAATTATGATTTGTTAAAGAAAAAAAAAGAAACAGAAACACTAGGGTATATACACCCAAGAGAGATTTACATATGCAGATTCACTATAGGAATTGCTTCATATGATTATGGAGACTGTAAAGTCCTACAATATGCTGTTTGCAAGGTGAAGACCCAGGAAAGCTAGTAATATGGTTTGATTCCAAAGGCCAAGAAAGCCTCTAGTTTAAGTCCCAGAGTCCAAAAGCCTGAGAACCAGGAGTGATGATGTCTAAGGGCAGGAGCAAATGGATGATCCATTTTTTATTTCAAAAAGAGAAAATTTGTCCTTCCTTCACCTTTTTGTTCCATTTGTGTCTTCAATGAATTGGATGATACCCCCTCACACTGATGGAAGTGGATGTTATATACTCAGTCTACTGATTCAAATGTTAATCTCTTCTGTTAACACCCTCACAGACACACCCCCCAATAACATTTTACCAGCCTCAAGGTATCCCTTAACTCAGTCTAGTTGACAAATACAATTAAACATCATGTGTAAAGCTTTTCATAACATTCCTCTATTTTCCTTTTGATATCTGCAGGATGAGTAGTGATTTTTCCTGTTTTATTCCTAATATTGGCAATTAGTGTCTTCTCTCTTATTTTCCATCCTCTTTTTCTCTGTGCTTTTTGACTGAACATTCTAATCACTTCTCTTCCAGTTCCCTAAACCGAAACTCATCATTTTTGTTCAACCTGCTATGAGTTATATATTAAATTCTTCATTGTAATTTGTTTTTTTAATTCTAACATCAATATTTTAATGTTTCTAAGAACTCCAGTTCACTGTTAAGTTCTCTATCTTTAATACCTAGCTCAGCTATGGATGTTTCTGCTTTTGTTGCTTTTTTCTTGGTTCTGTTTCTTGGTATACTTGATAATTCTTTAACTCAGCACCAGATACTGCATATGAAAATTATAAATATTCTGCATAAGGTTATCTTCTTCAGAGGAGGTTTAAATTCTAAAAGGCAGCAAGCTTAAGGAAAAATGTAAATCCAAACACAAATTGAAGTAATTTGAGGCTGAGTTGAAATTTTTCTGAAAATTGTTCTATTAAGCTGGACACAATGGTGTAGGTCTATAGTCCCAGCCACTTAGGATGCTGAGGTTGGAGGATTTGTTGGGCCCAGGAATTTGAGGCTGTAGTACACCATGATAGCACCTGTGAATAGCCACTGCACTGCTGGGACAACATAGCAAAATCCCATTTCAAAAAAAAGAATACGTCTATTTCTTACTATCATTGTATTTCTGCTTGGGTATAGCCTTCACTAGAACCAGAGAATCTACTAAGGTAACTCAAAGAAAGGCCATTTATAAATCTCTCAAAGCCTCAAAGAAAAACAAGGGTGTGGAATGTTAGACTCATTTCCATCCATTTCCATTCTAGGAGGGTCTTGGTCCCAAATTTTTTTGCTCTCCTGGGTCTCTAATACTCCCAATGAGATTATTTTTAAATATTTTTAACCAGTATTTCTGATTTCCAGAAGAATATTTTGTCTGCTAAAGCATAAACAATCAAAGCTATATGTGGAAATATGTATAAATCATTTTAAGATAAGTAAATTGACAGAGTCTATGTTTTCTCAATGAAGTACTAGTTTAGGGTATAGACTATGAAACAAGACAGCTTGAAATTTAATGATCAAATAAAGTCTGGGGAAGAGCAAAGCAAATGTTTGAAATAACCATTATGGGAAAATTGAAAGGACTAAGAAGTAAATTCATTAATTTATTATTCTTGATATATATTATAGGTGATCTGTACTGTGAATACAACTGACCAATATTATTTTTTCATCCTAGGTGACTTACTGAATTACTTGAGGAAAAGTAAAGATTGCATTCATTTATGTATTATTGCACTTTCCATTGAGGCGAAGGCAAATGAAACAAAATTAACTGTTCTATTCAACAATGAAGCATACCATTCACCATCTGTGGCCTTGGCATTGTTAGACAATGTGCTTTTCAGGTCACTTTCTGGCAGTGAGGCTTCCCTAACGGTCTCCAATAAACCTCAGCCACGTCCTGATAAGAAACACAGTAGAAAAGGGTATGTTATTATTTTGATCAGAATTGAGTTTTACACTTTAAATACATAGATCACATTTATATGCTAAAATAAATATTAATAGAAATCTGTATTTTTAGGTTGATTTTCTGATATATCTTCTTTTGTTCCTTCTACTATAGGATTACGAATGGACAAGAGGTGGCTATAAGTTTACAGTTTGGCACTGCTCTTTTGATCAGTGGATTTTCTCTCCTGACAGTGACTGAAAGAACCAGTAAAGCAAAGCACATCCAGTTTGTGAGTGGGGTCTCTGTCTTTGTGTACTGGCTTTCTGCTCTATTGTGGGATTTCATCATCTTCTTCATTTCCTGCTGCTTAATAATGGTAAGTGTTAGTTACAATTTCTTGGGGTTTATTTTCATTTTATATCCCATAGAAAATTCCTATTAAAATGTTTTTAGGGTGGTGCCTGTGGCTCAAAGGAGTAGGGCGCCAGGCCCATATGCTGGAGGTGGCGAGTTCAAACCCAGCCCCAGGCCAAAAACTGCAAAAAAAAAAAAAAAAAAAAAATTCATAAACCTTACTATGGCAGTAAACTGTCCTTACTCATTATCATAGAAAATGCATTGAGAAATTTTCATGGTTGAAACTTTCTCTCTCATATCCATAATTATAATAAAATAATTTCTCTGCAATAGCACAGAAGTCTCTCATGGACTAGTTTCTCATTTTTCTCATTAACTTATGGTGGCCACCCCCAAAACTAAGACATATTCTTACATGTAATGTCTCATACAACCCAGTCTTATCTGGTTATATCCTCTAGTACATCCAGATATGTAGTAGTGCCTCCCCCATAAAGAAAAATCAGAATAGGAAGAAGATTCTTACATTTTGAACAGATCATGTAGGAGAGAATTGTAATATTCACCAGAGAAGAAATGGGAAACACAGAAAGAATATGTAGGAAGAGAGTTCTCGGCAACTTGCTGGAAGGGCTTGGGGGTCCCATCTTAAGTCTTCTTAAACAGTATAACTACAAGCCAAGAATTTTGTATCCTGCAAATCTAGGTTTCATAAATGAAGGAGAAATGAGAGCAGTGGTTCTCAACCTTCCTAATGTTGTGACCTTTTAATACAGTTCCTGTGGGTTGTGACCCACAGGTTGAGAACCACTGCAGAGAGCACAAGAGGAGTTGAACATGGTAACAGACAAAGTAGACCTGAGCTGTGAGGCAGTGTACTGTGGCTTCACTATAGGCAGATCCTAGTAGGGCTATGACAAGCCCCATTTCTGGAGGCCTCTGAGGGTGACAACTGCCAACCAGAGATAGCAAACCCCTGACCTTGAGGCCTCCCAAGCAAGTCAGCAGAAGAGTGAAATGATACTTTGCTCCTGGCAGGTCCAGGAAGGGGCATGGTAATTCTGCATCCCAAGACCTCTGAAACTAACATCAGCCCAACAGACTTGATGTCTCTCCAGTCCTAAATGTCACCAAGTAGGCTAGCAGAACAGCAAACTGCTGCTTTTCTCTGGGAGGTCTGAGAAGCAATGTGGTAAATTTTTAATTTCCAGGGCCTCTAACACTGACCTACCCACTTTGCTTGTGGCAGGCCCAAGAAAGGGTGTGGTGAACTCTGCATCCCTGAGGCCTCTGGGACTTGGCAGCCAAACAGCCTTAAAATCTGCTGAGTAGTAGGTGAAACAAGGAGCTGTTACTTCAGTTTGGCAAGTCCTAGAAAGGGAATGGAGAGCTATGCATTCTGGGATACCCTATGCATAAAGAAGCTCACCTGATAAGGCATCCAAATGGCCCTAGAGCCTGATGAATGATTCTAAGGCTGGCAGACCAGTGTGCCATTTGCTGGGGCCATACTCCACACTCAAGGTTCTTACTGTCCCCTGCTAGCTGGCTAATTAAACCCAACCAGAATATTTCTTAATTTAAATTTAGGCACATCCTAAACTTTCAGCTTAGAGTTTTAAAAAAAACAGAAAACACAAATGGGAAGAAATCAGGAAAAAGAAAAAAACCTGGCAACATAAAAAGTCAAAGGAACTGAACATGGGACTTAATTAAATTGAATAGCTTCTGTACATCTAAGGGGACAACAACCAAAGCAATTAGACAGTCATCACAATGGGAAAAGATATTTGCATATTATGAATCAGATAAAATATTGATAACTAGGATCTACAGAGAACTCAAACCAAGCAACATAAAAAGAGACCACAATCCCTCATATTAATGGGCAAAGGGGAGGAGTAGAACATTCTCTAAAGGAAAGCAGATGAATGGCTAACAAACATGAAAAAATGCTCATCATCCTTAATTATTAGAGAAATACAAATCAAAACCACCCTGAGATATCATCTGACCCCAATGAGAATGGCCCATGTCACAAAGTCTCAAAGCTGCAGATACTGGCCAATGTGGAGAAAAGAGAACAGTTTTACATTGCTGGTAGGACTGTAAACTAATACAACCTTTTGGAAAGAAGTATGGAGAATCCTTAAAGAATTCAAACTAGACCACCTCCCACTTGATCCTGCAATCCCATAACTAACTGGGCATCTATCCAGGAAAAAAAAAATATCCTGTTGCCATAATGACACTTGCTCTAGACTGTTTATTGCAGCTCAATTTACAATCACCAAAATGTGGAAACAGCTTAAATGCCCACCAATCCAGGAATGTATTAACAAACTGTGATATATATACCATGGAATATTATTCAGCCATTAAAAAAGATGGAGACTATACATCTTTTGTACTAACTTGGACGGAGGTGGAACACATTCCTCTTAGTAAGGCATCACAAGAATGGAGAAGCAAGAATCCAATGTACTCAATTTTGATGTGAGGACATTTGATGGCCTAGTACATGGTGGAGATTGAGGGGTGGAGGAATGGGAGAATGGAGAAAGGGTAAGAGGGAGGTGAGTGAGGGAGTCACGGTGTTTGGCACACCTCTTGGGGGAGGAACATGTTTATAAGAGAAACTTTGCTTGAGAAATGAATTAGCATAACCTGGATCTTTATACCCTCATTGAATCTCCAATAATAAAAAAGAAAAAATTAACTTAGCATAGGTTATGCTGTGGGATATTGAAAAATTATAAAACTTCAAACACAAAGACTCCTAGGTCACTTGAATTTTATTTGATTACTTTATTTAATTTATTATGTTTAAATAAGTTTATTAATTTTACAGTATACTTAGAAACAATTCAAAGACCATTGGTACAGAAGGCAAAGAAAAGATATATAAAACAATCATGGCTATAGATGTTGGATTCAACCATTATCTACTAATCTTCTCTGCTGTTTTTGCTACCACCACCAAAAATATCAGTCATAAGTGTAATGACTATTCTTAGCTCAGCAGGACCATCAAGAAGTAAATAGTAAGATTAAGCTTCTACATAATTATGTAGTTTCCCAAAGGGAAAAACCCACCATTTGTGCAAAAACTGTAATTACCAATTAATGAGATATAGATTTTCAGAAATTTATTCCCTTTAAATCCTGTAGGTTCCTACTACCACCATTGATTGTAAAGGTCCCTTTTATTTTTTTACTCCACTGTCTAATTTTAATTTGTCTAATTTTTAATTTGCATTATAAAATATAAGAAGGAGGGTCAAGAATGGCTTAGATGTATACAAAGTAAATTGAGGAGCAGAAGTAGCCCAGTTTAAAGGTTAATAGCAGTGTTGGGTAAAGCAGGTAGTCAGAGAAAATATCATTAGAGAAATAGTGTCTCTTTAAAGAAATAACCTACTGAAACTTGACAGGATTATCAGGGCAACTTCTCCAAGTAAAAAAAGTAATAATAATGAAAGGAAGAGTAGCGGTTCTGCTCACTGGAATGTCCTCTAGTAAAGAAGATGTATAACTTACTTAGGCTAAAGTTTGGGGGAAAAAAAAAAGAGTCAGATTTACTTAATGGAAACTTCCATGCTAAATAAAGACAAGACTTGCTATTCCCTTCTCTAAATGTTCTGAGTTGGTTTTTCTTTTTGCACTTGCCCTTCACCTTTATCTCTGTACCTTCTGTGTTTCAGGGAGTGTTAAAATATTTCAAATTTGATATTTATGTCATGGATTACCACATTCTGGAAACCATGGTTATCTTCATACTATATGGCTGGGCTGCCATTCCTTTTGTGTACCTGATGAGTTTCCTGTTTTCGAAAAGTACTTCTGCCTACATCATACTTATGCTCCTCAACTACTTTTCAGGCACTATTGGTTTCTTCATAGGCACTGCATTAGAAAACGGTAAGTATAAGGATTGACAAAATTTCCCCTTCCCCAGAAGGCAGCAGTAAATGAACAAAGAGTAATGGACTTTTAGATATCTAAGAGCTTTTGTAGACAATTAAGTTTTAGGTATTAGAGAAAAAATTGTACTTGATATAACTTAATAAAGTCATTTTAAGTACCTATGATATTCTAGACATTGTGTCAGAACTAGGATCTTTGTAATAAAATGATGGGACAGACCTGAGTTAAAAATCCTTTACCTCCTGTGATTCCATCACATGACTTAAGGAATAAGTTTGCACCTGATTTCAGAAATTTTAGGAGTGTTTACCCTGAGACTCATTTGTCAGAGGGAGAGAGAATGAAGAAGGAGCTTTCTTCTTAGAAGGGAAGGCCTTAGATAAAGTTAGGAAATTATATTTCACATATACCATTATTATATTTAAAAGTGTTACCTCTTGAAACTGTGGCACTTTAGAGTGAGGTGCAGAAAGAGGAAAGAGCCTAGGGTAATCTTGAGCTCTTTGGGAGATACTAGGAATGTTTTGTGAGATGGCGTTTCCTCATCAATTCAATGAAAAAGCTCAAGAACCTAAGCCTCATAACAATCCTTTACAGAAAGAGGAAAAAATCTATATTCACCTAAAATGTGTATAACTAAGCCAGTTTCCCTTCTTGCCAGTCCTTGTTTGTGCAGAATTCTTAATTTTGTATCTCTTCATTTTCCTTATCTGATAACATTTGAATATAAGATACAACCTCCATAATTGACCACTTCCCTACATTTGCAATATTAATTTACCCTCTATAATTCAACCAGTTGAGCACACTCTCCACCAAGTAGTAGAAAGTGTGGGTTTTGCTCCTTAGTTATGTTATTTTTACTTTAGTATGAGTTCTTTCTGTGTGATTTATTAATACTGCATGTTGTATTAGGCCTAATGTCCTAGTGTTTATCACTTATTTCAGGACAGTTTTGCAACATGAAGGACTAGAATGAATTGTAGGTACATCCTACAATTACTGAAAAATTTTGCAGTTAATCAAGACATGATGGCCTAAAGGAAAGAACTCAAAGGGCTAACATTGAAGTAAGATGTTGATCTTCTACATTTTTTGAGAAAGTAGCTGCCAAACAAAGACAGTAGAGCATTTTGGTATTAGCAAGAGCACAGTTAGCAACATCCAAAGATGTAAACATGAATACTTGGAGAGATGTAGTAAGGAAAAGGAGGGAAACTTCTCTCAACAAGGTCAATGAAGCCACATTAAGCTGGTTCAAACAAATGACGGCAGTTAATGCCTGAATCTCTAGATTGATGATCCAAGAAGTAGCTAAAAATTTAACACATTAATCCAGGGTGGCAAATTTTCAAGCATCATGTGGTTGGCTCAAGAAATTTAACCTGAAGTAGGAGATCTTCTAGAAAATCTTCTGTGGTAAATCCTGTGATGTTCCAGTAGAAGTTGTAAAATAATTCATCAAGAAGTTTCTGTAATTTCCCAGACACTTCAAAGATGATAACATCTTTAATGCTGATGAATGCAGACTCTTTTTCAAGGTGATACCTGACAGAAGCCTCATCTTAAAAGGTGACAAATGTAAGAGCAGAAAACATTCCAAAGAACGTTTTATAGTTCTGCTTTTTGTGAGCTCAACTAGAAACTAAAGCCCTTGCTGATTTGCAAATCAGCAAAGCAACATGAATTCAAGAATCTGAAGCCCGAAGTCCTCCCCATCACTTGAAGATTAAGCAACAAATGTGTTTGAATGACTGGTGCCCTATTTGAGGAGAGGGTAAGGGGTCTCAACTGAGAAATGAAAAAGAAAAGCCAGTCTATTCTAATGAATTCTTTCACAAATGCCCTGGCCATAATCAAGTGAATTGTCTCACAGACACTGAAATTTCAGCCTCCAAACACTACCTCAGAAATCCAACGTCTTGACCAAGGCATCATCAAAACTCCTAAAATGCACTACCCAGACCAGTTCCTTCTGTGAGTCATTTCTAAAACAAAAACTTATCTTCTGCATCACTTAATCTTCTGGGTGCTGCCCTCTAAATCAGTTTTTCTTAGAATAAAGTTCAGCCAGAAATGATACAGAAACATTTCAAGAAAGTTAGATTTGTAACAACCCAAGAGCACAATGCTTTGGCCCCATCAGACAGTCCATCTCCAAAGGCAGAATTCAAAGGAGTAGATTTTGAAGGTTTTATTGCAATGGATAATGAGGTGACATCTTGTAATAATCCTGACCCAGAAACAATTTTCTAAGCAATATTACAAAATATTATATTAGCAAAATATAGACCAGCATAAAGGTGTGTGAGGCAGCTAACAAAGTGGGAAAAGCAATTGCGGATGACACAGAAGTATGAAGAGGCCTCAAACAACTAAAAGTAGACCTTCCATTTGATCCTGTAATTCCATTAGTAGGTATCCACCAAAAAGAAAAAATGTCATTTTACTATAAGGACATATACACTTGAATATTTAGAGCAGCCTAATTTACATTTGCAAAGGTGTGTAAACCACCAAAGTGCCCTTCAACACATGAATGGATTAACAAACTGTAATTATATTTATGGTTTTATATATATATAAAATATATATATAAATATATATATATTTAAATATATGTAAGATTGACTTACATAGTCCTTTGTACGCTTATTCAAGGATGAATATCATATATCAGCAAGATTTAAGCCTCTACATAGCAATCTAAATTACTTGTAAGAGCAGTGGCTGAATGCTCACTCTCACTAACATTCCTAAAATTATGAAAAAAAGTCCACAAATTTTTTATATCTCTCCAAGGGGAAATATTATGCTACATCAGGAAGATTCACCTAAAAACATTCAAGTTTGTGGTATCTGACTTGTAATGGAATTTTAAAGAATTAGTTAAGTGACTGGAGAGGAATAATTGTGGTACAATGAGAACAAGAAGAGATTACTGTTTTAGAAAATCCTATTTTGAAAGGAAAATTTTGCAAAGAACATAAAAGGAACAACAAAAAAAGTTAAGTAAGTAAATTTGACAATTAGTAAGTCCAAGGAGACTTCTCAGTAGCATAACACTGTGAATGATACTTTGCCAAAAATGATCAACTGAGATGAAAGTATTGAACTGGCAGAATCCAACAATAAAATGAAAGCAAGTGTTTTTAGAGGTAAAACATTTGTTTTTTAAAGATAAAATGAATTTTCAAAGTTATAGAAAATATTAAGGTAGACTACAAGTTTTCAAGAGATTCATTGAGTTTGACTTTCCAAATATAAGGATATAATTGCAAATCAAGCTTATTATCTTTTTATAGTTTGTACATTGAATATTGTATTTTTTAAAGTTTATTCCTTTTTAATTTGACATAAAAATGGATTATTTATTGTGTACAAGGTGTTTTGGAGTACATATACATTGTGAAATGAATAAATCTAGCTGCTTAGCATATATGCCTGACATCAGATAGTTATCATTTTTGTGGTGAGAACACTTAGCAAACACATTTTCAAGACTACAATATAACATCATCAGCTATAGTCACCATGTTGTGCAATAGCGTTCTTGAACTCTTCCTCTTACCTAACTGTAATTTTCTATTCTTTGCCCAACAACTTACGATACTTAGAAAACCCCCAAGACTCAACCACAAGACTCCTGGAAGTGACCAAGAAATACAGTAATGTCTCAGGATATAAAATCAATACCCACAAATTTAGTCTTTGTATAACAGTCAAGTTTAGAAGCAAATCAAGGATGAAATACCCTTCATAGTAGCTTCAAAGAAAATGAAATACTTGAGATTATACCTAACAAAAGAGGTGACGGATCTTTTAAAAAAATTATAAAACCCTAAGAAAAGAAATAGCAAAAGACAATAAAAATTGGAAGAATATACCATTCCCTTGCCTGGAAGAATCAACATTGTTAAAATGTCTATTCTATTCAAAGAAATCTGCAGATTTAATGCAATCTCCATTAAAATACCAATATCATACTTTGAAGAACTAGAAAAAATATTTCTTCATTTTATATGGAGCCAGAAAAATAAATGACGTATAGTCAAGGCAATTCTTAGTAATAAAAACAAAGCTGGAGGGATCACTCTACTAGACTTCAGGTCATATTATAAGTCCACAACATGATATTGGCACAAAAATAGAGACATAGACATATGGAACCAAATGGAAAACCTGGAGATGACACCAGCCTTTTATCACCATCTGATCTTTAATAAACAAAACAAAAGCATACACTGGAGAAAAGAATCCCTATTCAATAAATGGTACTGGGAAAACTGAATAACCACATGTAAGACTGAAACTGGACCTGAACCTTTCACTAATTACAAAAATTAACTCACAATGAATGAAAGATTTAAATCTAAAACATGAAACAGTAAAAATCCTAGAAAAAAACATGGGAGAAACTCTTGATGATATAGGCCTAAGGCAAGATTAAGAATTCAAATTAATCAACAAAAAAGAGTAAACAATCCCATCTATCACTTGGCAAGAGAACATCAATAGAACCTTCCCTGAAAAAGAAAAATAGCTAACAAATAAAAAATTGCTCACTGTTTTTAGTCATCAGAAAAATGCAACTCCAAACTACTCTGAGATATCACCTAACGCAAGTGAGACTAGCTTACATCACAAAGTGCCAAAGTTGCAGATACTTGTGTGGATATAGAGAGAGGGGAACAATTTTTACACTGTTGGTGGAACTGCAAGCTAATATAGCTTCTATGGAAAGAAGTGTAGAGAATCCTCAAAGAACTAAAAGTAGATCTTCCATTTGTTTCCATTACTGGGCATCTACCCAGAAGAAAAAAAAAACCATTTTATCATAAGGACATTTGCACTAGATTGTTTATTGCAGCTCAATTCACAGTCACCAAGATGTGAAGACAACCCAAGTGCCAATAAACACATAAATCAATTAATAAACCGTGATGTATGTGTACCATGGATACTACTGAGCCATAAAAAAGATGGAGACTTTACATCTCTTATATTAACCTGTATGGAATTGAAGCACATTCTTCTTAGTAAATTATGACAAGAATGGAAAAGCAAGTATCCAGTGTAATCAACACTAATATGAAACAAGTGGATGAACTAATTTATACCTACACAAGAGAAAAACTGAATTTAATTCAAGTTTAGTCAGGGAAGAGGATGGAGGAAAGGGGATGAGGAAGCGGGATTGGTGTGGTCCCAAGTAATGGGCACAAGGTAAGAGTATATAGTATACCTCCTGGGTTTGGAACACAACTACAACAGGGACCTTACCTAACAAATGCAAACACTGTAACCTAATCATTAATATTCTCATATTAATCTGAAATTTAAAAAATAAAAAACACTTGAAATAAAAGCCACTTTTTAAATAAAAAATAGAATATTGAGAAATGAAAATATTTAATAATTTGAATTAAGAAATCAATAGACAGAAGTATCAGGGTATTACTACACACAGTTGAACTGAGAGCTAGTGGATTGGAGATGAATACAAAATATATTCCATGTATCCCATGAGATAAAATTATGAAAAATATGAAAGTAATGTTAAAATCCATGGAGGATAGAGTGAGAAATCCCAATATATGGCCAAATAAAATTCAGAGGGAAATAATAGAAGATAACTGTTTAAACAATATATTAGTTGAGAATTTCCAGAATGATTAAAAGACAGTATTTATGGTTTTTTTTTTTTTAATTCTCACCTGGAAACATCATTGTGAAACTTCAGAACATCAAGGCTAAAGGAAAGGTCTTTGAATGGGAGGCCAAAGCAGGTGAATTGCTTGAGCTCAGAAGTTTGAGACCAGGCTAAGCAAGAGCAAGACTCCGTCTGTACTAAAAACAGGAAAAAATAATAAATTAATAAATCATGAACGGTGTCTGTAGTTCCAGCTACTCTAGAGGCTGAGGAAAGAGGATCTCGTGAGCCCAAGAGTTGCCGTGAGCTATGACACCACAGCATTCTACCCGGCAACAGAGTGGGACTCTGTCTCGAAAAAATAAAAAAAATAAAATAAAGTCTTTAAGACATGTAAAGAGAAAACTTAAATAGACATGTATAAATACCTAACGTAACCAATGAAGGAATATTTTTAAAGTGTAATTTCCAAAACAGAATAGATGAGCTGAGCAATGCAGAAGAAAGAATTAAAAGGCAAATTGCATTCAAAATATTGAGAAGGGAGAAAAATGAAATATAAAATAAGAATAAATAAAAAAATAACCTGATGATAATAATTAACCAAAATATAACATTAGTAAAGTTAAGTGGCAATGAAACATCCTGCCTAATCAAATGACAAGTTTTGTGTTCTGGATTCTCCTTGGTTCCAAATTATAGATTCATTCTGTTTACAGTTAAAAAATAAAGATTCTCACAAAGGGTATATAATATACACAAATACAAAATAAATACACCCCCCTGCTTGATTTCCACTGAGTTCTACTTCTCTCTGTGTACATGTCTTCTCATCAGTTAGTTCCAATTTAATACCTCCTAGTGAGTACACATGGTGTTTGTTTTTCCGTTCTTTAGATACTTCCCTGGAGAATAATTATCTCCAGTTCCATTCAAATTGTTGTGTGGGCATCTCTTTTACCTCAAAGTATTTTATAAGGTATTTTTGTTTAGACTTTTCTTTTATCCTCTTCTCAACTATCCAAACTCATTTTCAACATTTTACAATGAAAATTTATAAATTACGCATGTTCATATCACTAGAAATTTACTCTTTAATTTTTATTCATATGCAATTTATTTTAAGGGGATACATTAGTTAACCTTTCAGCTTGCTTTTTAAAAAAAATTTCAGATTTTTCCCTATCTTTTCACTACAGTTGAATTCTAGCCTCTACCTCCAACTTCACTTTGCTCCCTTATAGTCGATTAGTATTGGAAAGGTGAAAAGTAGCCAGTACTGATTCCCAGTTCATACCAGATACCAGAAAGTCTCCTCATATAGACCCTACTTCATCAAAAAGATTTTTCAGAATTCTACAATTGTCAACACATACTGTGTCACCATCTATAAACTGGAACAAATTAATTGGGAAGTAATTAGTTCTTCAAAGATAATCATCTAGTTTTTAATTTCCTGAGCTTGATTTGATCATCACTAGGGGATTTGTTGTGCTAGCAATGCTTGAATTCCTATAGAGTAACCTAATCTTATCGTTCTTCTAGAAATTCAAACTAGCATGTCAGATTTCACCAGAAACTTCCTGCGTAATTCCTTACTACTCTTTCCCAATTACAACCTGGCGAGGTGCATTGCTGGCTATACTACTATCTACCAGGAGAAGATATTGTGCATCAGCCAAAAGAATCCTCCTCTCATGTTAAACTGTAGTAAAAAAAGTGAGTATCTTTCTAATTCTCTAGGAAATTAATCTTAGGTTAAGACCATGAAATTTGTGGGGAATCTGGCCTTCTTTCAAAGGAGAGAGGTCAGGACACATATTTGGTACATAAGTCATTTTACAACACTAGGAAAACCTTTTAAAATGTAATTAAGCCTCAATTGAAAATCTAAGGTAAGTTTAAAGTAAGTGTCAGATAAAGATCGTAATAATATATAATCATCATCATCATCAATCATCTACTAGCTTTACAGGGGTTATTTTAAATCTTCACAATAACCTCAAGATATCTGTTTTTATATTTATTTGAAGAAATTGACTATCCACCTTGTGTCACATAGTTTTTAGTGGATAGAATTTGAATTCAAAGCTTATGTTCTTCCACCACATAATTCATTCTCTCTGTAGGAAAGAACCTCCAGGATAATTTACATAGCTTTTTTTTTTTTTTTTTTTTTTTTGCAGTTTTTAGCCTGGGCTGGGTTTGAACCCACCACCTCCAGCATATGGGGCCAGTGCCCTACTCCTTTGAGCTACAGGCGCCGCCCTTCTTCATTTTTATTTAATACTGTTTAGCGATTATTAGTTTATAGGTATTACACCTATGTTGTCAGTTTTATTCCTGTATATCTTTTGATGCTATTATAACTGGAATAACTTCTTTAAATGTCATTTAAAAAGTCATTTAATGAGTTTTTATTGTTGCATATAGAAAAATACAGTTAAAAGAGTTTATTTCTTGTGTATTAAACTTGCTAAATCATTTTATTAATTTTAATAATTTAGATATAGATTTTTATTTTAATGAATACGTTCAAAGGTATAGCTAATAGAACATTTCTTTTCTAATTTATATACACTTATATCTTGTTCTTTGACACATTGCTTTGTCAAAGACACATTATCTTGATGTATTAAGCTTTTTCTATATTATGCTTAAGTTCACCAATATTTATTAAGGATTCTTATCCTTGTCTATAAAAATGATTAATTTAAAATTATTGGAGTTTTTTGGAACATACTTACCAGCTTTTAGTATAAAAATAAACAATTAAAGTAAGAAGTATGTTTTCTCTCTTATATTTACTCAAAGATTTTGTGTAGGATTGGTGTTATTCTTAAATAGTTGCTGGAATTTACTTGTGAAATTAATTTTGAATGGAAGTTGTCCTTTAGGAAGATTTTAGTTATTGATCATATTTTCTTAATAAAAGTAGAATTTGGGGCAATTTTATTGATAATTTGAGTGACGAGTTGGTTGAGTTTTTACAGGATGTTTTCAGTCCATATAAATTTTCAAATTTAATGGAGTAAATTTGTTCATAATACCCTATGGTATTTTTAACATCTATCAGATTTATGGTGATATGTTCAGTTTCATTATAGTGTTTCCCTTTTTTATCATCTGTCTTTTTTTATCAATCTTACCAGATAGGTATCAATTTTACTAGTCTTTTTACATAGCAAGCTTTCAGCTTTGGTTGTTTTATTACATATTTGTTTTTTTAATTTGTTAATTTATGTTCTTTATCATTTTATTCTGCATTCCACATTTTGGGGGATTAATTTTCTAATATATGAGCTCTTAGATTATTTATTGCCAGCCTGCCTTCTTTTCAAAACTGGACTGTGTCTCACTGTGATCTGGGTGATTAGTATTTTTCCTGCTTAGATTCCCTGAACATTTTACAAGTCTTACTTTTGGAAAATACTCATTCATGAAAACACAAAACTTCTGAGAAAAAAAGACAATTTGGCAGAAAGGATTTTTCCTTGGAGATTTGTTGTATAGAAAGAAGGAAACAAGTAGCATAAGTTAAGGGTACTGCAGGGCCAATAGGCTATCAGGAAATCAGAAAACTATATCCAGACCATCACTACCACCACCACCATCCCCAGACTCCACAGCAAAAATATGTTTACATATTACATTTAAAGAAACTATATTTCACTCTACCAATATAAATAGCTTTCATAAATTAGCAACCAAATAATCATCCCAAACCTATCAATACCACTCCACAGAGTTACTGGTTTTGGTGGTCTATCACAACAATTCACAGCAGACAGAGTAACCAGCATTCACATAAACCTAGTATTTGAGAAGAACAAAAATAAGAATAAAAGCAATATGTATGATAAAACAACCTTTTTTAAAAAACACAAGACAACTTACTTACAAATATACATGTGGTGAGGATGAGGTGTGAAAGGAAATGTGGCAAATGTTAATAGCATTGATGCTAGGAGGAAAGAACTAGGGTTCATTGTACTATTATTACAATTTAACTTTATGTTTTAGAGTTTTATAAATAATAACATAAGGAGAAAATAGTTTCCAGAAGACTACATAAAGTTCAGATTTAAAAAGTAAGCAAAATATTGCAAATATGCATATAATGACCCACTTGTATAAATAAAACAAAAACCCAGAATACAACTCATCATACCTCTGGAGGATGGAAAAGTGAAAGAGCACATAAGCATTTGAAAATTATTTATAAACTTTAATTTGGGGACTAGGTTTACAGATGACTAGTCCCCATAAGCATTATGCTATTATGCTTAAAATGTACACATATGTAGCATATAATATTTGTATGAATCAAGCATTTTAAAAATATAATTCTAAAGTATGAGAAATAGAAAAGATTAAATAATTAGATATGATGGTCTACCCAGAAATCTCAAAGAATTCCCACCCTAATTATTAAACTTTATAATAATTTAGTGTACCTGCTGAATTCAAAATAATTACAAACAAAATTCAATTTCATTTTATATTCCAATTACAAACGCTTACACGAAATATGATTCCTATAAAAGAGACAGTTTAATGATGAAATCTGGAACAATTTGGGCTACGAAATTAAGTGTAAGTCAAAATATTAAAGATAATAACTATGAATTTTTTATAAAAATATCAAAGGAATTCTTATATTATTTATCTTCAAGCATATTTATTTTAATTTGATATTTATAATTCCCTGCATATGAAGGGGGGGGCAAAAGGAAGACTTCATAGCAGAGAAAGCTAATAAAGACTACCTAAGGAGGGGCAAGATACTCAGCTGACTAGAAACAGTTTTCACTAGAGGCTCCTGTTCAGAAGGGGAGAAGTTGGACTGAAGTGGACTTAGAGAAGCCAAAGGTGGGGAGTTAAGCACAAAGAGAAGAAAGTAAGATACACATCATCTCCACTGAGACAAGCTGCCAGGCCAAGAAAGAAGAAGAATGATAACAAAGATCAGGTACCAAAGGACTAGTTGGAAGGCACCCATTGCCAAGGGGATGGGAGATCCCTCCCCAAAATAGGCTTTCCATGAGCAAGCAGGGAATAAAGACCTCCCACTTTACCCCACAGGAGAGATTGAGGAATTCCCAGTCTTTCTACACCCAGGAATTTCCATCTGTAAACTCAATACCCATCATGCTTGGCATAAAAGTGAACAAATATTCACTCCACAATCCTGAGCACACAGCCCACCCTTTCCCCTATCTGGTTGCCTACTGGACAACCCCTGCTGTTTGGTAAATTCTCTGAGAGGCAGATGCATTATGTGGGCTGCTGAGATGCAACATGAAAACAGTGCCACTACAGTAGTTATAACTTTGGCATGGAGAGGTGTGATCTCTCTTGATTCCCTTTCCCAGTAGAAGAGACCCGTCCCCATCCCCCTAGGAACTCTCAGTCAGAACTGCCTGCAGATTCTTGTTCTCTTGCCACCTGGTGATCCTCTAAACTTGTTTGACTGGGTGTTGCTCACACAGCTTGAGCAAGTTTAACCAGAACTGTCAGTCAGAAGTATCGTGGATTCTTGTTCTCCAGCCACTGTCTGGGTGCAGGTTTAACACTTACTTGACTTTGTTTGGGTGGTGGTGGTAGTGAGTTGAGGCAGCAAAGGATGGATTCAGCAGGTATGTCTGTGGATTCCCCTCTTCCAGCAATCACTGGGATAGTGGGGTGAGGCTGCAGATGTTCATATCTTTGTCCAGCAGAGATTTCAGTGAAATATTGCAAATCCTTAGGATTGGGTAGAGAGAAGGCTGACACCAAACTGAACTAGGTTGTACTGTCTCACCAAGCTGGCCCTCAGAGGCTATGGCTGCCTCCCTGAAAGGGAGCTTTGTGAAGCTGTAGGGGAAAGGCCACAAGGACAAGCTCCAGCTCATTGTGGAAGGGGTGTTTAGCTTCAGTTCCTGGGACCTTCTGATCCACTCTCAGTCCACCAGTTTTAATTGCCAAATAGGTTGGTACAGTGTTTCCTAAGGTTCCTAAATTAGATTATCTCTCAATAACTATTCAGGGCAATATATCATTTTAACTAAAAAGTATCATTAATATACATTTTTTAAAAAACTGAAAATACTCATGGGGTGAGCCAGCAGAAGAATTCTGTCAACATTAAAAATCAGAGCAGATCAACTCCTTCAAGGGATTACAAGGGAGATACAACAAAAAATAGAGAAATGGTTGAAATGTCAGAAATAGAATTCAGAACATGGATGGCAAATAAGATGAAAGGAATTGAGTAGAAGAGGAAAATAGAAATAAAAATAAAATCAGTCCAAAAGTTGTCTCAAGAAATTAATGAATTCAAAGACAAAGTCACCAAGATATGGACATAACAATAAAAGATATAGCAGAGCTTAAGGAACTGAAAAAAGGCATTCAAAGTGTTTCAAAAGACAATGGAGACCCTCACTAATAGAGTAGAACATGGAGAAGAAAGAATTTCAGAAATTGAAGACAAGACATTTGAACTCCAGAACAAAAACAGAATATTCCCTGAGAGAGTTATGGGATCATTCCAAAACATCAAACATCTTAATTATAGGGATTCCTGAAGGAAAAGAGGATGGTCCTAAAAGCACTGATCTCTACTCTAAGACATGGTGGAAGAATTTCCCAAGCATTGCAAGAGATACAGAAATTCAGATAGTAGATATTTTCAGAAACTCAGCACAACTCAATCCAAACAAACCATCTGCTAGACA